ACTATTGTGCGTGGGCTAGTGGGGTGGGATGCAGGACTTTTGCTGAAAGGTCTCATTCTCAGAGGTGCCGGGGAACAAAACTAGCCAAAATTTTAGAGAGTCACTGGTTATTTTGGGGTCATTTAAAGGAACCTAATCTTCAGAAGGTAGATGCTCAGCCCATTTTGGAAAATCACCCCACCCCCAAAGATGTTAAGTTGGGCATCCAAAACTGCTACTCTCGATGGATGGAAGAAAGAAAGAAAGAAAGAAAGAAAGAAAGAAAGAAAGAAAGAAAGAAAGAAAGAAAGAAAGAAAGAAAGAAAGAAAGAAAGAAAGAAAGAAAGAAAGCTTTAGAATTCCTCTCCCTTGGTGTGTGTCAACTGCAGGCTAATAGGGGCAGAGACTGATTCTTAATGTGCACTATACTTCACCTGGCACAATGGAGCCCTGATCTCTTGAGTCTTCATTTTATAATGTAGCTCAGGATGTTCACGTGCATTTAAATCCAGATAAATGCTGCTCTACATAAGAGCGGCCAGACCGTGTCAGACCAAGGGTCCATCTAGCCCAGTGTCCAGTTTGCCGACAGTGGCCAATGCCGGATGCCCCGGGGGAGTGAACAGAACAGGGAATCATCAAATGATCCCTCCCCAGTGACCCATTCTCAATCTCTGACAGAAGCTAGGGACACCATTCCTACCCACCCTGGCTAAGAGCCATTGATGGATCTATCCTCCATGAATTTAACTAGCTCTTTTTTGCACTCTGTTCAAGTCCTGGCCTTCACAACATCCTCTGGCAAGGAGTTCCACAGGTTGACCGCATCTTACATGAAGAAATACTTCCTCTTGTTTGTTTTAAACCTGCTACCTATTAAAAACCTGTGACATACTCTACTGACCATTGATTTATTACACCTACATCTAGTGGCCCCGCCCCAATGAATGGACTGCTAGGATGTTTTTTCTATGCCTGTGACAGAGCCGGTGTTCGAAGGTGACAGCAGACAGTTCTAGTCCCAGCTCTCAGATGCATACAGTTGTTTCAGCTCCATCATCAATAGCGTTTAGGTTTGCTACACCCAACCCCACCATTGACTCGCTGCCTGACAAGTTACCCAACCTCCTGGTGCCTTGCTCAACACGCCAGGGTAAACAAAACTACAAGCCAGGAACTTCAATGGAAATTGGATGAGGCATGTTAGCCATGCTTCCCCGGGGAAATAAACTTCACAACACCGCACATATAACAGGATGCCGGCTACACTGGAGTCGAGTTTTCTCCAGGGAAATAAAATTCAGATATATACACATATATATTTAAAGGTTAAGCTCTAAAGAATGTAGTAAGCCAAGTTTCTTTGATTGCTCCCATCTCTTTGCATTAAAGAGAGATGGTTTAGGTGCATGCTGCAGAGGGCAAAGGGGACTTGTGAAAGGAACAAGGCATAAAGCAATAAAATATTACCTTGGCTGGAAAAAAAATAACTAGAGTGTGTGCAAATGATACAGCCGTATCAGAGCGAGAACTGGAGCATTGTGAGCAAGACACCAGAAGTCCTTCTTCCGCTCTGCTCTGCATGGATTAAGCCTCATCTGGAGTCTTATGTCCAGGTCTGGGGACACATTTCAGGAAAAAGGTGGAGAAATCAGAGAAGGTCCAGAGAAGAGCAACAAAAACGATTCAAGGTCTAGAAAACATGAGCTATGGGTGAAAACTGAAAGAACTGGTTTTGCTTAGTTTGGAATAGAGAAAACAGAGGGGACATGAGAGCAGTTTTCTAGTTCCTAAAAGGGTGTTACAAGAAGGAGGGAGAAAAATTATTCTCCTTGACCTCTGAGGACAGGACAAGAAGCAATGGGCTTAAATTGCAGCAAAGGAGAAACTTGGTGGTTAATCATGAGAATAAATTGCCTAGGGAGGTTGTGGAATCTCCATCCCTGGAGATATTTAAGAGCAGGTTGGACAGACAGCTGTCAGAAATGATCTAGATGGTGCTTGATCCTGCTGTGAGGGCAGGGGACTGGACTTGATGACCTTTCAAGTTCCCTTCCAGTTCTCGTCTTCTATGAAAATATGAATGAGGGTTATTCTGCAAGGCATGGGGATTTGAGATAGCACTGGCCACTATAGGCATGCAAAAGAATCCAATTCAAGGTTGGACAGGGATGGTCCAAGGCCTGTTTGGGACTGACCACAGGGTGCAGAAGAGTCCGAACTGGATTTCTGTGACCAGTTGACATGGGACCCTGGTGCATGGCTCTCCTGGTCAGAGATCAGGCCAGACCATCTGCTTTTCCATCGAAGCACTTCTTAGCCAAGCAAGAACCGAGGTTCAATTCCATTCTGATGAGGTGCCCCGAGCCGAGCAGATGCAGCGCCAGACATCTGGAGTCTATGAAATCAGCCTGGAACCAGATGTGAGCAGCCTCCTTTGCAAGCTTTGGGTGCCAGGAAATGCAAAAATCATAACAGCAAGGAAGAGAGTGGAGGGAGAACGTTCAGGCTCTTCCTGCCATGGTTTTAGCGGATTTGGCCTTTCCACCCTTAGGCGTCACCAAGGCACTGGGGGGAAGTGGAGTGTGGGGTACAGGGATGGAGAAACCTTGGAATCCAGAACAAAACCGACAAAGATTCAGGGATGGAGAAGGACCTGGCTGAGTTTAAGAGGAATAAGGGATCTTTCGGAAAAGGCTTTATTTTCCGAAAGATCCCCGTCTAGACTGGCTCTTTTTGCCGGCAAAGCCCCGAGCCGGAGAAAAGCGGCAGCCATGTTTATGCAAATGAAGCGGGGGAAATTTAAATCCCCGCTTCATTTGCAATTGCGATGTGTCTAATTTGCATCCCTTTTACGGAAAAGGGGTGCAATCTAGACACAGCCTAAGTGACGTGGTCTGCTTTCCTGTAGGCCGGTCTGGGACTTGTGAATTCAGACTGTGGGTGGAGGAGAACCAGGACTGTATTCCTGTGCTGATCTAGAACAGGCTCCAGCAAAAGCCTCCTTGTAGGAGAAGAGCTGGGCCTGGATTTTTGTGTCCCGTTGGCATGAGATCTGGATACAGGCCCTGGACATAGCAAAGGGGTCAGTGGATCTGCATGGTGTCCAGTGGTCCCTCTATGCTGAGCGCTTGGGCAGCTGCCCAGGAGAGATTCAAATGCTGCCCAGCTGATTGGCCTGGTGCCCACAGCTAGCCCCAGATGGCAGCATGTGTTTCTGTTGGTGGTGCACATCCACACTTGCCTTGGTGCACCCAACAAAATTTATTCCACACACGGGTGGAAAAAACCTAGGGGAAACATTGCTCTTGCCTGTCCTTATGAGGGGCGGCGGACAGACACACCTCGGTGTGTGAGATGCATCAGGAACCTCTCCTCATCAGAGCTCAAAGATGCCACTTACGCCGGCTCAGCCAGCCAGCATGCACTAGGAGAGGAACATGTTTCCTCCTTGCCTGCTGCATTCTCCTATACATTAGCTCTGTGTCCTCCAAAGAGGCTTGTGCACAGTCAGGCAAGGGAGCCTGAGGACAGGAGGGCTAAAGGGAACATTAAGCTCCTTGTTCAGTCCCAGGCCTGAACGGGGGGGCTGTGGACGGAGGGTCCTGGCTCTCCGGGTGGAAGAATGGGCTCCATTGTGCTGTGCAATAGGCTAGGGTCAGTGTCCTTGCAAAATCCTTTCTTTATAAAAGGATCCCTGGGAACAGAGCTGTCCGGGACCAGGCGAATCCCATCCCACCATCTGCCAAGCGGCGCCAGGGCCATCCCTGGAAACTTTAACTCTTTGGGACCACACAGAAGTTTTTGGAGATTGCCTATCTCCTAGAACTGGAAGGGACCTTGAAAGGTCATTGAGTCCAGTCCCCTGCCTTCACAGCAGGACCAAGGACCATCCCTGACAAATATTTGCCCCAAATGGCCTCCACAAGGATTGAACTCACAACCCTGGCTTTAGCAGGCCCCAGCAACCCCAGAAAAGTCTGCAAGGTGCCGTAGTAAGACCTGCCCCATGTCAAGCAGCAAAATGTCCTGTACAGCAGAAGGGGAGGGGCCGGGTTGGAGTTAGTGCGTGCTGCAGTTCATACCAGACTCTAGGACCAGAGAGAAGACCTGAGTCTGTACAGCACCGAGCACAGAAAGGCCCTGGTTTTGACTGAGACCTGTCAGTGCTTCCGTGATAGACGTAATAGCAAAAGCCGAGGGAGATGGACTGGCGAGACCACAATAGTTCTTCTCCATGTCTCTGTTCGCTGGCCAGGTTCCATGCTGGTTTATGCCCCATGTAACCTTGTAAGGTCCAGGGCCCTGCAAGAATTGACAGTGCTGAATCGGACCCCATGTCGGCAGCATCCCCTCAGGTGTCCACGCGCAGCCGACTCAGGCTTCACCACCATGGAGCAAACCCCGGCACGGGCACCGGCCTGGGCGATCGCGCAGTATTGCAACGCCGAGGCTGCCGGCTCATCTCGCGCGCTGGAGCAGGTGGGCGAGGGAAAGGGGGAATCGTCAGCTGGCCCCACAGATAAAAAGGAAGCATCGCCATCGCCAGCGTAACCTTGTGGCGGGTGAAGGCCGCGGCATCAGCTGAAGAGGAGCTACAAAGCTAAGCCTCTTTCCCCAGCCCCCATTCCCAGGCCTCGGCTCATAGACTCATAGACTTTAAGGTCAGAAGGGACCATTATGATCATCTAGTCTGACCCCCTGCACAGTGCAGGCCACAGAATCTCACCCACCCCTCTTAGAATAATCCTCTCACCTATATCTCAGATATTGAACCCTTCAAATTCTTTGAAGGCCCCAAGATGCAGAGAATCCTCCAGCTGTGGTCTGTGCCCCATGCTACAGAGGAAGGCGAAAAACCTCCAGGGTCTCTGCCAATCTACCCTGGAAGAAAATTCCTTCCCGACCCCAAATATGGCGATCAGCTAAACCCTGAGCATGTGGGCAGGACATCCAAGATGAGATACTAACAGCAGAGAGGCATGAAAGTATGACAGTTCTTCTATAAGGCATAGATCCACATAATTTTTAATGGGTGGTAAAGTTTAGGGATTTTTGCATGAGGCACTCAAAATATGTTCAACATGTGCATATCAAGTCTTTTTCTTCACTCAACATTGACACAGGAAGCAGCAAGATTTATGCAGACACACAGGGGGCGTCATTCGGGATAAGATCTATCACAGTAATAAACAAAGCCTCGATGTAAAAATACTCTTCAAATATACTCTCCAAGATAATCTGTTCAGAATGTACACCTTCAGCCTCAGAGGGGACTAGGCAGGCCTTGGAACATTTTACATTTCTTCCTTGAGATTTGTATGTCTTAAAAACTTAATGCAGAATGGAGGGATCCTGGGTGCTCTAAAGAGTAAATTCAGTAAGGGGTTCGGCACCGCGAGCCAGCCGAACGAGTGGCGGTGTCCTGGTGAATTCCTCTTCAGTGCCGGTGCGAGGGCCACGTTGGCGGATGCTAATTAGACTCAGTGGGTAGAATAAAATGGAGTGACGCCTCTTTTCATTCCAGCCCGGCATATTCATTACAGAAGCTGCAGCCACCGCTGGGATGTCAAGGAGGATTAAACGGAGACGGGGAAAAGTTACAGGTGGCTGTTATTGTATGAAATGCAAATAGTCTCTCTCCCGCACACGCGCCCCCGTGTGACGAGCAACTCCCCGGCACGGGAGCCTTGGATCGGCGTTCTGTGTGCCCAATGCAAAACCAACGGAGGAATATTCCCCGCTCGTCTCCATTCAGAGTTATTTAAGACCAGACAAGATCACTGACATGCTTGATTCTGACCTCCTGCAAACCAGAAGCTAGGGAATTTCAGCTGGGGATGGAATTAGTCTTGGCGACGGGGTAGGACAGTGACTCTCAAAGGGTGGCCCGCAACTGTCTTGCAGGTCTCGGAGCTCACCCACCCCCACAAGGTCGGAGCGCCAGCGCCGGCTTCCGACTACAGGGGGAGGCGTGAATCTCGGGGGCTGGATCTGGCTTGTGGGGGGAGGAGACGTGGCTCTGTGTATGGGAGAACAGCAGCGCAAGAAACCGCTCACCTAGGCTGTGTCTAGACTGCAAACTTCACCTGCATCTAGACTACAGCTGCATTCTTTTGAAATTAAATCGAAAGAACGCGGCTTTTCTTTCGACAGCGGTACTCCTCGTTTCACGAGGAAGAACGCCTTTTTTCGAAAGTGTTCTTTCGAAAAAAGGCATTCTTGAATGCAAACAGGGCTTTTTCAAAAGAGAGCATAAAGACGCCTGGGTGCTCTCTTTCGAAAAAGCGGCTTGCTTTTCGAAAGTACTGCTTGCAGTCTAGACACTCTTTTTCGAAAGAGGCTTGCAGTCTAGATGTAGCCCCGAAGGCTTTCACCGCTGCTCCCATTGGCTGAAATCACGGCCAATGGGAGCAACGGGGGAGGGGGGCACAGAGCTTGGGAGCAGCAGGAGGCATGGAGCCAGGTCACCCCCCCTCCCATCGCCTTCATGCAGCCCCTGCTGCCAAGACCCCACACTCCCACCCCACTGCTGCACCCCCCCTCCCAGACCCTGCACCCTCAGCCCATTTCTGTACCCAACCTACCATCCAGACCCCTCCCCCCCCAACTTACTCCTGCACCCTCCTTCCTGGCACCCCCAGCTGCACGCATTTTGTCATCACGGATGATTGGCTGGTGGTCTGCGGAAAGGTCTGCTTTGAGCGGAGTGGGCCCAAAAGTTTGAGAACCGCAGGTGTCGGAGAATGCTCTCCAGCCCGCTAAGGAGCAGCTGAACAGGAGCGTGTGTATTTGAAACTCTTGCCGACTCAGCGACTCCAGGTGAGGAGGTGAATGATGGAGACAGGCCATGCATGCCTGTCCCTGTGCATACAGAATCCCCTTAACACGCCCGGTGCAATCTATCTGCAAGAGAAGGCCTAAGAGTGAATCAGGACTGGATTATAGTCAGATACCTCCCCAAACGCAGTGCTCCTGGAGAGACTGGAGAGCCAGTCAGTGCTGCTGTACAGGATTGTCCGAGGGATGGAATCTAAGAGGGGAGCATCTTTCTCGGTGACTTCCCTGTGGGCGACTCGCTGGACGGTTTAGCCACAAAGGACTTTCCTTCATTGATCGGGTTGCCAGATGGTCCCCCACAAAATACTGGACACGTGGTATTTTGGTTAAGCCCCCTCCCCCCAAAAAAGGAGCCACTCCCCCCACCCCCGTTAGGCTTCTGATGTGCCAAGGGTGGTGATCGTGGTCCCGCCTACCTCCCAGCCTGGGAGTACCAGCTGGGAGGTGGGGCCGCGATCGGCGCTGGGAGCCTGTGATTGCACAGAAGCCTGGGGGGAGCGGGGGAGTCCCAGACACTGCCCCATCCCTGCCAGGCTTCTGGGCAATCACAGCCTCCTAGCACCGACCGTGGCCCCGCCTTCCAGCTGCTTTCCCCGCCCCCGCCAGGCTTCTGCACAATCACAGGCTCCCATCCGGTGCGCAGCTGGAAAAATCAGAGAATACCGCACATCGCACATCGCACATGTCTGGTATTCTCTGATTTTTTTTACCGGACAAAGAGCACAAATACCGGTAAAATACCAGACACTTGGCAACTCTATTCATTGATAACCTTCTGAAGCTCTCCCCTTCCCCCAGGGCATAGCCCCAGGCCTGCTCCTCCGGGCGGGTCAGAGGAGGAGAGCTGCTTAGCGCTGGGCCAGCGAGAGGTGCTGCAAGCGGGCTAAGACAACACCACCTCAGCGGTGGTTCCACACTGGCACGCCCGTCGGGGCCAGCGCAGCGGGAGACTGTCAGGAGAATGACCAAGGGCCAAGCAGCTCGTTTCTGTGGAGCAATTGGCCGTGCGAAAGGAGACCCGCAGGGCGACACCCTCCTCTCCTGGACTGCTACAAATCCAGGGCAATCGTCTCAGCTGGGCAGGCGCTAGCTTGGGCACGGAGCAGTGTGTGGCGCTGGAGACAAGCAGTGGCTGGAATCTGGCCGGTGCAGAGTTCAGACGTGACTGGGGCTTGCCCCCCACCCCCGGCTGCTCCTCCATTGGCTAGGACCTTCACTGGCGATGTGGGTTCAATTCCTGTCTCCCCGTCAGAGCCCTCTTAGACATTTAGGCTCCGTGCCTCAGTTCCCCCTCTGCACAACGGCGCTTCCCTGCCTCCCAGGGAGTTGTGAAGAGGTGCTTAGATCCCATGCCCACGGCTGGCCGAGTAAGTGTCGGCTGCTGCTTTTAGGGTTGCCAGGTGTCCGGTTTTCACCCGGACAGTCCGTTTTTTCTGGCTCCTGTCTGGTAAAAAAAAAACAGAAAATACAGGATATGTATTAGATGGAAAGCCTGCAGGGACAATCTTCCCCTGCTGCGTCTGGGGAAGGCACATGGGGATTCTTAAAGGCGCAGCACTTTTTTTTTTTTTTTTTTGCTCAACATGTTTGGTCTCCCTTGTTCAGGATTTTTGGTGAAAGCATCTGGCAAGCCTAGCTGCTTTATACCGTGACATCTGTGGGAAAGGAAGGTGAGATGCAACAAAGCCAAACTTCTCCACTGCTTGCCAGGGTGCTTTCTTGGGTGACAAGCTGGAGACCTCCAGCACTAACCACGAGTCTCTGCTGTTTGAGCTAAAGATCCAGGCTTGGAGACTGACTTCTTGGAATCTCCCAGGGCAGCCAACTAGATGGACTTCACCCAAACGTCCACCTTTACCTCACTGACACCCAGTTCAAAGCCACAGCTGCTGTTGCTCAAACCTGTGCCTGATGCTGCTGCACCTTAGCTTGCTTTTCTGGGCCAGGCAGAGGGACCAACAGCCAGCATGGGCCTCTGGGCAAAATATTGGGAGGTCCTGGCACCACGCTCCGAGAAGGCGGGGCCTCAGGCAGAAGGGGCGGGGCCAGGAGCAGCCTGCCACTCCCACTCCAGCCCTCACAGCTGCCCAGAGCGTCTGACTCAGCACTCCAGTGGCAATTTAAAGGGTCCTGGGTGAGCGTAAAGGTAAGCGTTTCTTTCTCTCTCATCTACTTTGATTGCAAGCTGTTTCAGCAAGGCTCGTCTTGCACCGTGGGCATGTGCAGCACCTAACGCAACAGAGCCAACACCACTGTAACATCACCATGCCAGCTGACCCGCAGGGACGTGCCTGCTCCCTGCACTCCACACAGCTTTCTGGTTTCCACCTGGCCTTTAGGGAATAAAGGGCACGAGGACGTAGGAACACGACGAGTATGACTCCAGCTTGCCCTTTGCACAGTGGCGCTCAGCACTCTACACAACGGATGTTCTTGCAGCTGTAAAAGAACTCGGGGAGCTCCCTGGGGGCCAGCCAGTCATTTTTGGACGCAGTCAGTTTTAATTCTGCAAGGAACAAAATATAGACGGCAAGAGAGTTGGCCTAATTGGTGTGATTTATCACTTCTCATTCAACGGCAAAGGGAAAGAAATCCCCACTGAGAGGCCAGTGGAAGATGGATTCTCTGCTCATGCCAAGCAAGGTCCCTTAGAGACAGCCCGGGAGTCAGCTTGGAAGCGTTCCCGTTCCGAGCTCTCCTGCCGCTGCTCGGGATACTGGCCACTTCTTCAGAGGGAACTAGGCGACTCCTCTCAGAAGATCCCAAGCGTCTCTCCAATCTCCACCCCCAGTGACAAAGGCCTCAGCCAACTCTGGGATGTGGTGGGCGCTCCCCGCCCCACGGTGTGCGGCAGGCAGGTGCCAGAGACCCGCGAGGAGTGTGTGACTTGCAGACCCACTTTAGCACAGTCCACGGGCACGGAGGGAGCAAAGGGCTGGTCCCATTCATGCTGATTGGGTCCACTGCACGGGGGAGGATGCTACTGGCCTTCATCCCTCTTTCACAGCTCAGAGAGCTGGCAGCCAAGGCAGATGCTACTCCCCAGAGACCAGTCAGCTTTCCAGTGCATCCGTCTCTCCCCCATCACACACCCCTGCCTGAGCTCCAGGGGACATTGGGCGGGTCCCAGGGACTCTTCTATGACACTAACCACTCCCCAGCCCTACCCCTGCCGCTCCTCAGCTCAGAGCTCAAACCCTGCTGTGCAGAGAGGAGTAAGGGGAGCCCAACACAGGGCCAAGAGACCCAGGACTGGCAATTGGAAAGCCAGGTGTAGACACTCAAGAGCAGGCTTGGAAATCCTCCATTGATAAGCTCTCATCTCCAGAGTGCCTGAAGGGGTTGGCTGGTTATCCGGAGAGAGTTTTGCATGGCCAGGACCTTGCCAGGGATGGGTGGGGTGAACACCGGTCTAATTTCCCTCCCCAAACAGGGCTGGCCTTACCATGAGGCAAACTGAGGCAGCCGCCTCAGGTGCCAGACTGTGCCACTAGGACCCAAAGAACTGAGACCTTTCAAAGTTTTGGGCCAAGCGAGAGGGCACGGGGGCGTCATTTGAGCTCCTCGCCTCAGGTGCCAAAATGTTGTGGACAGGCCCTGTCCCCAAATGGCTTTTCCGCCAAGATGCACATTCATGTCAGTCACCAGTTACCATGTTTTCAGGTGAAAAAGTGAGGGGTTTCAAACCCCTGATTTTTTTTTCCAAATTTCTCCCCCCTGCAAGGAGGAAACATTTGGAATTCCCAACAATCCCCTGGAAAAATGAGTCTGGCTTTGCGTTGCCCCCAAGTTACCCAAAAGCGTTTGGAAACAAGATTTGGGGGTGAGGGGAATGGCCAAGAACTGCACAGAATGAAATTAAATGTGAACGTTTAAACTTCACGCGCAACAAACTCTGCTGAGCGCTGGTCACTTTCCTTTCAGGAATACAAAACCGGTGAGAGAAAAAGCAGCTAGAAACAACCCATAGACAAGCGAGGCCCGAGGTGACCTGGTTGAAGCAGATGGAGCCCTGTGGGAAATGACTAGCGGAGTTTATATAAAGTTTCCCAAGCAGGTGCCACATACGGGACCAGGAGGGGGGAAGCATGAACTGCAGGTCAGGAAAGGGCAGTCCCCACAGGAATATTAAGCCAAGTATCTTTACAAGAGAAGTCACTTTATAAAATAGAAGGCAGGGAACAAAGGAGCAACTGCTGCAAGTAGCTTACACAGAAAGGCGGCAGACACGTATCTGTGGGCGAGAGAGAGATGACGAGTTGGGGAACGTTGCTGACTGGACGCTGGAAGATCTCAGAGGCAGATGGGCATCCTGGAACCGCTGCTACTGAATTATCCCTAGCAATTTCATAGCCTTGAAAAATGCATGATCGACCGTGAAATCTGCCCCCTCCCCCCGGTGAAATTTGGTCTCCTGTGTGCTTTTGCTCTATAGTATGCAGATTTCACAAGGGAAACCAGCATTCCTTAATGTGGGAACTCTGACCCAAAAAGTTCCAGGGGGGTTGCAAGGTTATTTTGGGGGAGGGACATGGTATTGCCTCCTTACTTCTGCACTGATGTCTCAGCTGAGGGGCCAGAGAATGGCAGCTGTTGGTAGGATTCCCAGCTCTAAATGCAGCGCCCGGCCAGAAGTAACGGTGGAAATACGACACCATGCTACACTTCTGTGCTGCTGCCTTCAGAAGTGGGCAGCTAGACAGAGGCATCCGCTGACTGAGGGCCCAGCTCTGCAGGCAGCAGAGCAGAAGTAAGAGAGGCCATCCCGACTTTTGCGCTCCTGCTGGCAGCTGCTGCTTTCCAGCCACCCAGTTCTGAAGCCAGCAGCAGCACTGAAGTAAGGGTAGAAGTACCACACTCTCCCTACAATAACCTTGTGACCCACCCCCAATTCCCTTCGGGGTCTGGACCACTACAATTACACCACCACAACATTTCAGATTTCAATAGCTGGGTGTCTGGCTCGTGAGTCTTGCCCACATGCTCAGGGTTCAGCTGATCACCATATCTGGGGTCGGGAAGGAATTTTCCTCTAGGGTAGTTTGGCAGAGGCCCTGGAGGTTTTTCGCCTTCCTTTGTAGCATGGGGCACGGGTCACTAGCGGGAGGATTCTCTGCATCTTGGGGTCTTTGAACCATCATTTCAAGGACTTCAATATCTGAGATACAGGTGAGAGGATTATTCTAGTAGTGGGTGGGTGAGATTCTGTGGCCTGCATTGTGCAGGGGGTCAGACTACATGATCATAATGGTCCCTTCTGACCTTAAAGTCTATGAGTCTATGAAATTTACAATTTTCGAAATCCTATGATGGTGAAATTGACCCCAATGGACCAAGAATTCCTTGGGCCAATGCAAAACTGAACCCTAGGGTACCATTATTACTGTCTTGTGGTAGCACTTACTAAAATCCATGGGAGACAGACCTTGTCTGGAAGAGATTAGAATCTGAACAGATGAGGCAGACAACCAGAGGTTGTTTCCTCTATTCTACTGTTTTAGGAGCCTACGGTGCAGAGAGATGAAGGGACTTCCTCAGGCCACCACTAGGAGCTTTGAACCCAGAGTCCTTGAACCTTGCTCTTTAACCTGGACTATGCTTCTGAGGTCCTGAATCCCAGCCCAGTGCAGAACCCACCAGGCCTCCCTTCCTGAAGTCGATTCTCCAGGCTAGTTTTAAACAATTCAAGTTTCCAATGCAATCTATTCCCCTTTGAGCCCCCTCTTCCTAGTCAGACCCCGGAGCATTGTGCAATGTTGTTCTGCCTGGCTTGGTGCATGTTTCAAAGTGATGCTCACACTCTTTGTAGGCTGCTGCCTCTGCCCAGTACTCGGCATTTAGCCAAGCAATTGAGGGCTCCGGTGCCTAAATCTTCCCTTATAGACAGATTGCCCCAGGCCATTCATACTTTTACAAGTAGTTGCTTTTCTCCCAATTCCTCCCAGTTTGTTTCCATCTCCTCCTGGCACAAAGATGCCTAAAACTGAGCTCTGATGATCCCTGAGAGCCTCCACCTCATCCCCTATGAGCCTCCATTCCACCCCTTCAAATGCTGCAATGCAGCGCACTAAGTGAGCACCCTCTGAGGCTGAACGGTGGCATTAATGCAATGAGTGGATTGCAGTTACCCAAGAGCGCTACCGTGCAGAGCTGCGGACCCTCCTACTTCCTTTACCACCTAGCAAGCCTGCTGTCTGGTTTCGTGGCTCAGTACCTTCAGCTAGTATCGCCGCTGGCATCAGACTGCCCTCTCCTCACATTCTGGTGGGCACACGTGGAAGTATCAGCAGCTCACCTCAGGCGCCACTTACCTGTGGTAAATGCCATTCTCTGTCCCGGGCTATTTTCCAAGTCTGAAGGCTTGGCTTGCCTCTCTCCTGCTACAGCAAGACTCACAGGGAGCCGCGAGGCAGGAGGCTGGTGCATTGTTGGGTTTCTTTAGTC